GGGGGGGGGCCCCACCCAAACCGGGGGGGGGGGGGGGTTTCCAGACAAGCAGACGCCAGCCCCCCCCCCACCCACCAAGGGGATAGGGTGCCTTGCTGTGGGCCCAGTCCTGGAGGAGGACAAGGAGCTAAGGACGGACAGACGGGGGCAGAGGGAGAGAGCCCCTCCCTGCCCCTCCGTGCAAGAAGACCCTGAGCAGCCCATGGGGCGGAAGGCTCAGTCCAAAGGGGGGGGGGAGACACACACACACACACACCCCGAATGCCCAGCCCCACTCTCACCCAGGAGCCCCTCCACCCACCCCCTTCCAAGGACCCCGGGAGGACAATTTCAGGAAGGGGACGGAGCCCCCCCCCCCCCGCTCTGGGCAGAGACCTGGCTCATGGGATCAGGCCTTGTCAAAAGTGACGGAATCAATGTCGGAAGCAAAAGCCTCCCCTCCCCCCTGCAAGGCAGGCCCCCTTCCGCTCCTCGGGCAGATCCATTGACAGGGTTATTTGATTTGCCAGCACCAGAGTCTCTCTCTCCCTTTCCCCACAGTGGTGCCCGGGGTGGCTTCATGGTGGAGACGGGCACGGAGGAGGTTCCCACCGGCTCTGCCTCCTGCGCCTGGTTCGGTTGGCTCTGGTGCCAAGCCCCGGCCCGGCTCCCCCGCAGCTGCCCGTCAGCACGCCCGCGCGGTGGCCCCACCAAGGCCACGGTCCTTCTGGGCTCTCGGCCGGCCGGGGGCTAGGACTCTGCCGCGTCCTCCTCGCCACGGCGCCCGGCGTACAGCGCGGCCAGCTGGCGGAATCGGGGCCCCCAGCTGCTGAGATAGGAGAAGTCCTGCTCGGAGCCGGTGGAGCGGGAGTGGATGGAGCTGAAGGAGGTGAGGGGGGAGTCGGCCCCCTCAAAGGCGTAGGTCTGGAAGGAGTCGTAGGGGGGCACGGAGGGGTCCTCGTCCGCCAGCCCCACCTTCCGGCTGATGTAGTCTCTGAAGAGGGAGAAGTCCAGGTCGGGGGCCTGGCCCCACTGGGGCAGGGAGCGCAGTTCCGAGGGGAGGCCGGGGGGCCCCTCCCCGCCGCCGCCGCCCCCTTTCGCCTCGCTGAAGTCGTAGAGGCTGCGCAGGGCCGACATGTCGTAGGCTTCCGTGTCCTGCTCGCCGCCCCCCTCGTCGTTGTACTTGATGACGTTGTCCCGCATGTCCTCGTCCTCCTCGGAGGCCAGGTGGCCCTTCTGGTGGCGCTTCAGCGTCAGGATCAGGAGCACCAGCACTGCAGCAGGGGAGGAGCGGGGAGAGGGGGGGGCAGTGAGGGGGGGCAGCAATCCTAACCCCCCATCCACCCGCGACTCCCCTCTGAGCCAGCGGGAGGGTCTCGGTGAGGGAAGAACCCCCTTTTACCTCCTCTGACTGTGGGAACAGGGCAGGGGTCATTTCCTGATGGAGCGCGCAGGAGCGGAGCTCCGGCAGTAAAGAGCCCAGGGGGCGGGCACATGCAACAAGCCCCGCCCCCTGCTCCCAGCAGCCCCAGGCCACGAGGAGGAAGAAGCAGTCCTCCTTTCCTTCTCTCCTTATTTCCTTCTCTCCCTCTTTCTTTCTTTCTGTCCTTTTTTCCTTCTCTCTTTCTTTCCCTCCTTATTTCCTTCTCTCCCTCTTTCTCTCCCTCTTTCCTTCTTTTTCTTTCCCTCCTTCCTTCCTGCACAGATCTGTGTCTCCCCCCCCCCATAGTTAGCAATTCAAAACAGTCCAGTGGCAGCTTTAAGACCAAGTTTGTGAAAAATTTAATAAAACCCTGCCCCTTTGGGGGCAGTTATTAAAAAAAAGACCAAGTTCTTATTCAGGTACAAGCTCTCCCTCCTCTGTGAGGGCAGATCTGCACGTTCCCCCAATAGCTAGCCATCCAAAACAGTCCAGTGGAGCCTGAGTGGTGGGTGTCGCCTTCTGACATGCTTCCGGTGATGTCAGGGGGTGTGGCATATGCAAATAGGTAATGCTAATGAGCTCCTGCACCTCTTTTTCTACAAAACGACCCCTGGGACAGGTCGAGACTACGGGGTGGTGCCTGTGGGTCAAACGCTAAACCGCTATCTGAGCCCAGCAGGAGTCTCTTCCCACCGGAAGACCACAAGTCGTACACGAAGGCAGAAGGCCCAGTTCCCCTCTGTCAAGGTCTGCTGCCCTCCCTGTGCAAGGTGGGGCTGCACAGAGGCCAGGGCTGGCCAGGAGACTCCCCCCTGGGGGGGGAGGGCTCTGCATGACCAGCAGCCTCTCTGGAAGGGGCTGTCTCTTCCCCAGCAAGGGGTCTGGGGCCGACCCCGGCAGCAGCCGCAGCTGCATCCTTTCCCCGCCGCCTCTGCACACCCAGGCTGGGTGAGGGCGTCCTGGTGCCGAGCAGCTGAGAGGCACGCAAGGCTTGCGCCAGGCAGAAGGGACTCTGCTTCTGTGTGGCTCGGCCGCCCAGCCCGTGAGCCGGTGGCTCCAAGGGCCCAGGGACACAAGGGACGGCTGGGGTGTCCGGAAGCAGAGAAGTCAGTTGGAAGGGGGGGGGCAGGCTTGCCTCTGCCAAAGACAAATCGGATGGAAGCGGGCGAGAGGGGGAGGGAGGGAGGGAGCAGCCCAGGGGGACCCCTGGCTCCCCACCCCACCGACTGCCCACCCAGCACGAGAGGCCCAGGCCAGCCACGGTGGCCTTCCCCAGAGGGGAGTGTGCTGGGCGGCGGCGGCGGCCCCAGGTCTGGGGGGGGGGTGCGGCAGGACAGGGCGGAGTTGTCCGGAAGGGGCCGGAGCGGCACTCACCCACCAGGATGAGGACACAGACCAGCAAGGCGATGAGGGCGCCGGGGCTGAGGGAGGCGGAGAGGGCGTAGGCCGTGGCGTTGCAGGACTGGATGGCCCCGGAGCTGTCGCAGCCGCAGACGCGGATGGTGAGGGTCCCCGTGCTGCTCAGGGCCGGGGGGGCGCTGTCCACCACTAGAATGGGCAGCAAGAAGAGGTCCTGCTCCTGCCGGTTGAAGCCCGGGCGCTGGGTCCGCACCGCAGCGGTGTTGTCTGGGGAGACGAGAAAGGAGATGGGGAACCGGGGTGAAGCACCGCGAGGGCACCGCGCCCACCTTGGCTCCACCAGGCTGCCCCCAAAGGGGTGTGTGTCTTGTTATTAACACTGAATATTTACAGAACTCGCGTCCCGGCCTTCTGCCTTCACAAGGGCCAGCAAAGCAGCTAACTGTTTAAAACGGACATGATCCCATTACGTTTCAAAACCATTAATAAGGGAAGCCCCATCCCAAACACACATCACTCCAACCATTAAAAAGCAGAGTTCAAATACATCCAGACCATAAACACGTTGGGGATCGCGGAAGGAGTGCTGCCAAGCAAAACAAAAAAGTCTCCACCCGCCGGTGGGGGACGGCAGTGGAAGGGGACAGACGGATCTCCTGGAGGGGGGGGGAGTTCCAGAGCTTTGGGGCCACGACCAAAAAGACCCTCTTCCGGGTTGCCACCCACCCAGCCTCAGAAGAAGGGGCCTCCAGCAATGACCACAGTGGTTGAGCGGGTGCAGAAGCCATGAGTCTTCTGTCTCGACAGGCAGCGTGTCAAGCCACGAAGCGCCCCCCAAGCCACACACCCCCACAGCAGATGGCCACCAGTGGAGAACCCAGGTCTACAGCTGATGAGCTTACCCAGCAACCCGGCTGGTTGTTCCTGGGGGAGGGGGTGTCATAGACTCATAGAGTTGGAAGGGGGCATACAGAGACCATCTAGTCCAGCCCCCTGCCCAGTGCAGGACCAGCCTCAAGCATCTCTGGCAAATATCCGTCCAGCCTCTTCTTGGAAGCTGCCAGTGAAGGGGAGCCCACCACCTCCGGAGGCAGCTGATTCCACCTCTGAACCACTCTGACCGTGAAAAAGTTTTTCCTACTCTCCAGCCGGTACCTTTCTGCATGTAGTTTAAACCCGTTGCTTCAGATTCCTGCACACTCAACAACACTCCTCTGTTAGTGATTTGTTTATTGAGATACGTAGCTGTGTCAAGCAGAGACCATGTGTGTCAGAAATGACTGGGTTGGCACCAGTCCCCGGTATTATACATCAGGGGTGTCAAACATAAGGCCCGGATGTGTGTGTGTGTGTGTGTGTGTGTGTGTGTGTGTGTGTGTGAGAGAGAGAGAGAGAGAGAGAGAGAGAGAGAGAGAGAGAGAGAGAGAGAGAGAGAGAGAGAGCTGAGAACAGGAGTCAAATCACTGTGAAGAATCCAGGGAAGTCCCTGGGGGGAGTCGGGGGGGGGGCAAGCAGGCCAAGGAATGCCCACGCAGTACCCTAACCCTTCTCTCTGGCACCAGGCACCAGCTGCGTCAAGAGCCAGCCCCCCTCAGAATCGGGGGGGGGGGAGGCCAGCTGAAATCCCAGGGCCAGCTGCCAACAGCCCCCACCCCATCTGCAGCCTGCCTGCTTCCTCTGCCAGGCTGGCCAGGCAGGCCTCGGCCACAGCCCTGCAGGCGACAGCTCCGCTTCCCCCGTCCCCAGGCACCTCAGGGACCTGCGCTCAGCTCCCCGCCTTGTCAGGATACCTCCCCCCCCCCCCAGTTCTGGCCTGCTAATGAGCCCTTTGGAGAGTTCCCCCGTCTGCCTGACTCGCCTGGAGCTCCGGAGGCCTCAGTCGCCTTCCTGCTGCGCTCAGAAATCGGCCACCAGCCAAGGAAGCCTCCCCCACCCCGCCCAATTCCCTGGCTGGTGGAGGGCTGGGGGGGCTGGGGACACGCCTGCCTCTGCAGTGGGCCTGGCAGTGGCGGAAGGGATTCCGGAATGGGCAGAGAGCGCCGGGGGTGTGCCCAGAATGCGGGCAAAGGGGCAGGCACCTGCTTCAGCCTCTCCAGTCCCTGCCGCCGGGAGAGCTGGGCCGCTGCACCCAACAGCCAGACAAGCAGCTCCCTGCAGGGGCTCGGGGGGGGGGGGGAATTGGGCCAGAATCGGGCCCTCAGTCTGGCGGGGGCTTTCTTTCCGTGTGTCTTTTTAGAACACGCAAGGCAGAGCGGCAGAGCCCAGCATGAGATGGCAGAACAGACGACACCCCTTTAGACTGCAGGCCAGGAAATCGCAATGCTCCCCTGCTTTAAATAAAGGTCCTTGCGAGGAGAAAGCTAGCACTGCAGGGAGGGCACCGGGCGAGTCCCCTTCCGCACGGGGGTGTTCCGGCTGCCCCCACCCTGAAGCAGAGCAGCCCCTTTGGCCACGTCTGTCTGCCGGTCTGTCTGCTAAACGTCTACCCTGCCCTTCTCCTCCAAGGAGCCCAGGGCAGCACTCCCGCTCCTCCTACGTCCGTCTTATCCCCACAACAGCCCTGTAGGGTAGGCCAGGCTGAGTGACTTGCCCCAGGGGGGCTCGGCGGCTGTGAACCTGAGTCTCTCTCAGAGAGCTCCCAGTCCAGAGCTCTCTGGCCACTGCACCGGACTGCCTCTCCCCTCACCCCGCTGCACCGCCAGCCCAGCCTCTCCCGTGCCGCTGGACTGCGTGTCCTTGAATGCTGGAGAGACGGGCCCGGGCCAGCGGCCTCCGTGGGGCTGCAGTCAGTCACTCTGTGGCCGGCCAGCCCCCCCCCCACAGCCTCCTGGGAAGGAAAACGAGAGGAGGGGGAACCCCCCCCCCACATTACGGGGGAACACCAGCACGGCACCCCTCAAATGTCACGGATCCACCAGCTGTCCTGGAGTTCCCCGCCCGGAGCCCGCTTGTGGGAAGGGTGGGGCAGAAGCTGAACAAGTAAATGAATAAGTGGGCAAAGGGAGAAGATCAGGGAGGAGGGCCACGGGCCACGGGCAAGAGCCACACTCCGCGCACTGCTGCGTGGGTGAGGAGCATTTCCAACCAACAGGGCGGAGAAGCCGGACGTCCTCTCCCCTTGAGTTTGGACACCACATTTACAAATGGTTCCCCTTCAGCAGACAGATCTAGAGAGCCAGTTTGGTGTCATGGTGAAGTGCGCAGAGGACTCTAATCTGGGAGAACCGGGTTCGATTCCCCACTCCTCCTCCACTTGCCCCTGGCTGGATGACCTTGGGCAAGCTGTACTTCTGACAAGAGCTGTCCTTGAAAAAGAGTCGTTTCTGTCAGAGCTTTCTCAGCCCCACCTACCTCCCAGGGTGTCTGTTGTGGGGGAGGGGAAGGGAAAGGAGTTTGTCAGCCGCTCTGAGACTCCTTTGGGTAGTGAAGGGCCATGGGGTAGAAATCCAATCTCTTCCTCACAGGGTGTCTGTTGTGGGGAGGGGGAGGGAAAAGGAGTTTGTCAGCCGCTCGGAGCCACCTTTGGGTAGTGAAGGGCCATGGGGTAGAAATCCAATCTCTTCTCTCTTCTTCTCTCTTAAAGGCTACAAAGAGGGCTCTATTTTTAAAAATGATTTCAGCACCCAGCAAGGTGAGTGAACCAGCATCCCCCAGGAGGAGACAGCCCCTGAAGGGAACGGGGTCAGAGCGGCAGCTGACCTCTGGGGACGCCCCCCCCCCCAGCCAATCCCTGCTCCGGAGCTCCAGCCTCCCCTGATCCACCAGGGCCAGCTCACCCCTCGAGGGGGGGGGCGCTGGAGGAGGCTCTTGGGCCTCTCCCGCGGGGTGGGTGTGGGTGGGGGGCTTCTCCTGTGCATGGCCAGCAGGACACCCCCGCTTGGGGGGGGGGCAGCCATCCCACCCACCCCCACTCTGCCTCACAGGAGGAGCTGCCGTGCGGATGCAGGTAGAGGCTCTGTCTGTCTGTCTGCTTGACCCACCACAAACCCCGGTGACGTGACGGGGCAGGGGGAGGTCAGCCCCACCTTCCAGGTCCACATCTCCCTCCCCCTTTAAGTCTGAAGTGAGGAGGGGGGAGTTGCTGGGCTGCGGGGGGGGGGAGACAGACACAGAGATGGGGGCAAGCGGCAGAGACAAGGCAGGCTGCCCCCACGTGCCTCCACTCACCGTGGGGGGAGGCTTTCCCCACCCCTGCATGGAAACAGCCCCTGGGTGGCTGCTGAGGAAAGGGTCCCTGCGGAAGACTGCGAGGGGAGAGGTCCTGGCCCTCCTCTTGGACCGCCGGCCTCCTTCCTTCCCGGCACAAGCAGAGAGCAGCTCTTGAGCAGGTTTCCCGCTCGTCTCCTCCATCTCTCGGGTATGTTGCAGGGCTCTCTTTCGGCTCTGCTCCTGCAGAGGGCAGGGGGGTTGGACTAGATGACCTGCAAGGCCCCTTCCAACTCTGACACTCTATGATTCTACGATTCTATTCTCCCCCCCCCATGGATTTTGATGGCCTGCATCTCCCTGAGGTCAGCCTTCAGCTAGGCACCACGGGGGGGGGGGGGCCTGGGTTGTCATCTGGCCCCGTTCCACATCACAGCGGGCAGCTAACAGGGGCAGGGTCTCTCCAGTCCAGCTGCCCTTTTGTGTGTGTGTGGGGGGGCCCCAGCATGCACCAAAGTGGAAAGCAGGCCCTTGAGCTCCCAGGCGCAGGGCACACAGGTGCACGCCCCCCCCCCCCCCCCCCCCACCCCGGCCGCAGAGTGCCAGGAAGGAGGGGCGGGCGCCAGGCCATGCCGAGCGGGAGAGCCCCATGCCTGGTGCCTCCGCCGCTGCTTCGTGCAGGATGTAAGAGGACAAGATTTAAGCGTGAGCCTGGTGTCTCCATCTGGGCTGGCATCCATCAGCAGCTCATCTTGGCTCCGACGGCAATATTTATAAATCACGTCTCAAAACTGGCTACAAATTTGTACAAAGAAACAGATGGGCCGTTGGCGGCCGTTTGTCACCACCGAGATGCGCGGGAGGAGGGGTACACAGAGGGCCCGGGATTGGGGGGGGGCCCAGCGGAAGGGCGGAGGAGGTCACGGGGAGGGGGAGGGCCAGGTGGTCGG